TAAATGGGACATTGATGTCATACACACAAGGACACCTTCCCAAGGCTCTGGGATCACAGTAGAAGAGCAGGTATTAAAGATTTTAGGAGCCAGAAGTAGTGGATGACCATAGCAATGAGTGTTTTCTGGACACAACAGGGCAATTGCACATATAAACTCACAACAGTTGTGAAAAGCATGCACAAGACCTCAAGATCAAGCCAGACAAAATGTGAGTATGGAGGAGGAAGAACATGAAGTCCCTCCCATAGCTAAGAAGTTAATTGGCAATTGATGGCCACCGGGAGAATGAAAGTCAGCTCTCTTCAAGTATACAGCCTGCAAGTCTGCCCGTGCTCAGTAGATGGTCCTACACCCGTGCACATATTGGCAACATTAAATAAACTTAGTGGATTAGAAAAACACACAAAATTGGGGATGGGGAATATTGGTGAGGGGAAATAGAGGGACAGTTGGAGGGATAGTAATGAGGGATGGACTTGACCAAAACACAGGCATTTTAAAAATTCTCAAAACAAGTCTTACCAGGAAAAAACATTCCTGCCCTTCCCCTTTTCTTTGCTCAAATAGTATTCTGCTGTTTGTCAACTGGTGAGTGAACAAAACTCAAAAGTTCTTTGACTTCTCCTGGATGAGATTACCTGTTGTCTTTATTTAAAAAAAAAAAGTTGGGTTGGCCAGGTAGTAGTGACACACACCTTTAATCCCACCAAATTTCAGGGTTCCAGGCCAGCCTGGTCTGCAGAGCAAGTTCCAGGACAATTGGGGCGACACAGAGAAATCCTGTCTTGAAAAACCAAACAAAGAAACAAACAAATGAACAACAACAACAAAAACTATGTTCAAAGAAGTTGGAGAGATAGCTCAGCAATTAAGAATACTTACTGCTCTTGCAGAGGACTTGGGTTTAGTTCCCAACACCCACTTAGCTGCTCACAACCATTGGTAACTCCAGTTCCAGGGGATCTGATGCCACCTTCTGACCTCTATGGTCACCAGGCACACACATGGTGCATGTACATACATGGCAGGTAGAACACTAAAAAAGTTTTAAAAATTAAAATAAAAAAGAAAGTAAAAATACAAGGCTAAAGTTAAAAAGCAAAGTAGGGCCCAGCATGAATGAGACCTCAGGTTCAATCCTCAGTATGGCTAGAGCAACAAATAGAAAAAGTTAATATTGTATGGTCCTACATTGTAAATGGAGGTCTCAGTTGGAATGTGAAGAATACTTTATTTCCTCTAAAGGTTCCAGCTTCCTGAGCCCAGGGCTGCAGTCCACAGTTACAGTACATGGCTCAGCATGAGTGTGGCCCTGAGCTTTGCCTCCAGCATCAATAAAAAATAATACTTTTTTTTTTTTGTTTTGTTTTAAGGAAAAGACAAACCCTACCTTTCTAACCAAAAGTCCAAGAAACAATAACCAAGGGACCAAGCCACTTATCTTGTGCCCAGATTAAGATCTTAACATTTCATTTTCTAAATGACATGGAGATACATTAAAGAAGTGGCTGGTGGGTAGTGTGAGCAATGAGCATGGTGAACATGGGCTGTGGTACCAGAAAGAGAAATGTATCTGTAGAGATACCTGGGGTTGAGTCAAAGGACTCAGACACCGAAAGTGACTCCCGCTGCTGAGAGAGGGCATACTTTAAACATACAAGGGCTCAAGGATGTTTGTCAATCAAGTTTAAGTCCCCAGCATCCTATCCTATAAAAGGAAAAGAGTGTGCCCGGAGTGTAGCTCAGTGGGGCAGCATTTGCCCAGCGCATAGGAAGCTCTGGACTCAAGCCCTGACACCGAAAGAAGCAGCAAAACAAAACCAATTAGTCTGCAATAGATTGGGTGTAAAGCCCCACAAGCTGAGTGTTAAAGGCAGGGTCTCTGCTGGTGTCCTTGAGAGCCAGTAGAAATTTTAGGAGGTGGAACCCAACAGGAAGTAACCCAGTAGTCTCTGGGGGGGGGGCGTGCCCTTCAGAAGAGTTGTGGGACTCTCTCTCTCTCTCTCTCTCTTCTCCTGACCGCCTGAGTTTGAATCACAACATCACAAAGGAAACAAATGGATTCGACTGGAGCAAAGTGTATAAAGCAAAGCCTTCCAGGAGTAATGCAGAGTTTAGGGAGGAGGTGATGGCAGCAGGCTAGTGGTTTGTGCATTTGTTGTTTGTGGGTGGGTGGAATAGGTAAAGGAAGCCATCAGCATTGCTTCTAGAACCGACTGACTGAATAGATGAAACCATTTCCTGGGATGGCCAGTTCAAAGCCAAAGACAGACAGGAGATAGTGCTCAGAAGTGCTACTCTGCTGTATGTGAGTGGCTCACAACCTGTCTCAGATTTCTAGAGCTTTCTCTTTTAGCTCATAGAAGTACATAGGAGCCTTACCCACAAAAGACACTCATGTGGCTATTTGAATACAATGCATTCATTACAAATCCTGAGGAAGAGAAATGGCAGCCAAAATCCTTCCTAGGGATGGATCACTGTGTGATCCCCCACAGTGGGATCACAGTTAAGTACACTCTGTGTATGACTGAAGTCTTTTAGCCCTCTGCTAATTAAGTTCAATCCATTTGGCTTAATCCTCATAAAATTACAATATGCTTTTGTTTTTAAACTGTAGGTGAAGAAACTCAACAATAGCCTGAGCAAGGGCTTAATATACTGATATTTAGTTTCAGGGACTGATGTAACTCATTGTGTTTAGCCACAGCATTTTGAGAACCCTTATGTACAGCAGGAAGCTAAAAAAAAAAAAAATACTACAAAGTATGCAGCAATTTCAGGCAGAAGAGCTTGGTTGTGCCTGGGGGAAATGTCACAGATGGGTCGTGCCACGTGAACTTGGGCTTCACCACAAGTAGGCAAAGTGATTATGGTGAGCAAAGGGGAGTGCAAGAGACAAATGGAGTGGTTTGTCAAAGCAGGGGTGGGGAGTGGGGGTGGGAGGGGCCGTGCTAAAAAGGGAGCAGGCAGAGTTAACATGGAGACACACAGTTGGTGCTTAAAAAGTCATTTTTACCAACAAAGCAACTCCCACAGGTAAGAGGGATAACAAGTTGTCAAATAAATGACCCTTCCTACACCAGGAGACACGAAGACACTCACAAGATGAGGGGTCCTCATTGTGAGTTGTTCTGTTCATTTTATACCTCCCCTGCACCTCTTACTGCTTCAGGTTTTTCCTTTTCCTTGAAGGAGTGTCCCTCAGACTTCCTGGTCCTGTTGTCTTAAATAGTAAGAGAGTCTTGGTGACTCTAAGCTTGAGCAAGGTCTCTATGCCAGGGATCCACCTTCCTTTATCATCACCAGCCTAAGCAGATGGTTTGACCAGAGTCAAACCACATATGTCCACCTTCTAAGTGACTTGTCCCAAAGATATGAATGAGTTGGAGAAATCCTTACAGGGTCCTAGGAATGTGAACTTAACTTTCCCAACAGACAGTGTGCTCTGAGAAATCCAGGGAGAGATGTTATAGCAGCTTTGGAGTAAGCTGGTCCAGGAAACGGAGGTTTGGTACAGTGAGTACCTTTGAGTCTTTGCTACTTCCAATCTGGCTAAATTTCAGTCAGTCAGTCACTAACTGAAGGGTGTTGTGCCAGTCGTAACCCAAAGCAGGGAATTCAACATCTTCCATTTAGTCTTGGAACGCTTTGTATACAGTAGGGTGCATTAAGTCAACATAAGACTTGGAGGACTCGGGTGAGTGAGGCACAGCAATGCAACGGGAGAGGTACAGATAGACAGACCCAGTTCTGGCTCACACGATAGAACCTGTCTGTCCATCAAGATAGGACAGGTCTATGTCAGTACACACAACCATTAACTCTCATTGGTCTAATGTCACCAGAGTTATCACAACACATATAGCGAGGATCAGCAGGGGACTCTGCTTATTGTAGTTGCTGAGGACACAGACTCACAGAGATTTTATTATTTTAAGACAATGGGTGAGTTCTGGATGGTAACTTGGGGCTTGTTGATTTCAAAGTAGGGGTTTCAGTTTTGTTCACTCTCATTTCCCAAAACACAGGACAATGTTTAGGGCTTACTACAAGCTCAGTAGTTTTGGTTCACTATGCAAGATCACAGAATACCAGTGGAGAAATGCCCAGGCGATTGCTAAAGCAGAGCAAGCACTTCTGATGTCTCTTTTGGGAAGACAAGTTTCCTTACTGGAGGTGAATTATCTCAAGAAAAAAAGCATGGGGGCTTGCAGGATGACTCAGCCAGTAAGGGCTCTTACTGCCAAGACTAACCTTCTGTTCCCTAGAACCCACACGGTGGCAGGAGAGATCTGAGTCCTTGCAAGTTATACTCTAACACACAAATGTAACAACTACTACAGAAAATTTAAGGGAGTGTAGAAAAAAGGGAGGAGATCGATAAAAGAATGTTGGGGTCCTTGATTTTATGGGTCAGAAAGGATTAGGAAAATGCAGGAAAGGCGCCTTTCAAGAGATGTCTGCAGTCAGTATCTGGTGTCGCAAACAGCGGGATGACTCTGAGGACCTTCTCTCATTTCTCTGGGTACAGGCCACTGTCAGTGCCTCCCACAGCGAAGGGGCTGCTACTGTCCCCAGGAGGAGGAAGGTCGTTGTGTCCGTGGCACACGGCATGCGGGAAGGCCGGTCTTGCAGCAGCTGGCTTGAGTTTAAGAAGGACTAATACTGACACACAAGCATCTCTGGCAAGATGATTGGTTGTAGGGAAAGATCCAGGGGACAGAGACTAAAGTTGCGTAAGGGGATGGTGGAGAGGTGGTCAGTTTCAAAGGGCCGCGAGGAAAGGCTATGCTCCAGGAAAAAGAGCCACCTGAGAGAAAGAGGAAGCGCCAGAACTTCGCTGGGCTCCTTTTCGGGGGTTCTGGGAGGAGGGGCGGAGCTTCCTGGGGGGGGTATGGCAGAAGGCGGGGCCGGCCGCAACAGGTGTGCGGGCGCCGGTGCTGGCTGGCTGGAGAGGCGGGGCGAGCGGGGAGGCCACACCCTGAAACTACCTGCGCGGGGAGGAAGGATGAGAACTGGAGCCTCCGCCGCCGGCCGGGCGCCCTGGGCCTGCCCCGGAACTTGGCCCGTACCCCTCCTCGCGCTCCGCGTCCCTCGTGTCCCCAACGTCCCGCGGGCAATGGTAGTCGACTGCCTGCAGGGACCACGCGTCTGAGACCAGCGATCGCGCTGCCGAGACCATGGGCAGCAATAGGGGCCGCAAGGCCGGAGGGAGCTCGAAGGACTTCGGCGCGGGACTCAAGTACAGCTCCCGGCAAGAGGTGGGCGAGGCCCGGGGACCTGGGGCGAGGGCCGGGGACCCGGGGCCGGGCGTCCACAGTTCGGATCCTCGCGCACCCGCACTTGCGCGCGGCTCTCGGTTTCGCCTGAGCTCCGCTCTACGGCCCGTGGGTGGCCTGGGCTCCGGCGCTCAGGTGGAATTTCCTGTTCGGTGGGTGCCTGGCCGCTGGTGGCAGGGCGGGGCTGGCCGGACCTCGGCCCCAGATCTGCCTTGCTCCGGCCACCGAGCAGGCAGGAAGCCCCAGGGCCGGGAGGCACCACTGCCTCCTACCCTCTCGCTGGCTTGAAAAAGAGGACCGCTGTGGGGGTCCCCATAGTTCTGGGTTATCAGTGCTCTGAGTGGGTGATCTGGGCTATGGCAAGGACATATTCGTGGGTTGGAGACTTGTCTCTCCTTGGTCTCTGCAGAAACTCGTTTTAGTTTTCCTGGTTAAAAGGCGCTTTGGACCTTTTGTAGAGGTATTCTCAGAGCAGAACCTGGTCCACAGAGCATGGAGCTGGGGGCTTGTTGGCCCTTGAGAAAGTGGCTGTCTGGGCAGTGGTGAGGGAACCTCTCTCTTGAGGCAGACATTGAAGTAGAAAGCAGAAGCACGGAGAAGTCTCTTGAAGGACCTCAAAAACATTAAATTTACTGTACAGAGTGAGGGAGGGCGTTAGTCACCTTTCTGAAGAACACACACGGGGTGGGGTGGGGGACAATGCTCTGGTGGGACTAGGAGCCAGGTATTTTCCAGAACTGCTGCAAGACACTGGTGAGCGAGGCTTGTTGATCCAGCAGGGTCCCTCGACGCGTTTTATGCACTCTTTGTGCAGTGACTTGCAGAAGACCAGATCTGGGGAGGTGGGTGGGGGTGTGATGGTTACACTTTTCACTCCTTGTGGCCAGAGTCCCTGTAGCCTGTGCTTCAGCCCTGCTGTGAGATGCATTCTGGCATTTGCCACCTGCTGCCGCCTTCTCTTCCTTTCTGCAATTGGGGTGTTCGTGAATTGCCAGCTTGGGGTTCCTGCTTCCTCCACAGGTAGCCTGCTGTATTGTGTTTAGTTTCTGGTCTGTTTTCCTCACCTTCCAAGTTTGCCCTTGCCGACTTTCTCTTCAAAGACTTTGCTGATACTGAAAGAGGACCCTCTGGGGTCACTGAAAGTGAACTCAGTTTCCTCTCTGGTTACACCATCCCAAGGGAGGGCACCAAGTTCATCCCCAACTGGATGCAGGATGGGGCTCATCTCTCTGGTCCCTGGGCTCCTGTTAGATCACTATGCACCAGTAACTCCACCTTGTCTTCCCCCTAGGTCCTCATTCATCTGCTCTCCACCCTCTGGGTTACTCCTACTTCATTTCTTCTGGAGTCTTTCTCGTATGTGATTTTTATGCTGTCATTTTTCAGGTCATGTGGACCAGGCATTCACTGCTCAAGGGGGCTCTCAGAGAACAATATGACATGTAAGCAGACATGCACAAAGTTTGTCACCAGGCAGTGTGTCTGCAAGGGAATAGCCACAGCTCACTTTCATATTTCCAGGAAGTCTTCCAGTATGCCCCCTACCCTAGGCTTGATTGTGCCTTCCCTGGCATCACTCAGCAGTGCTGTACAGTTGGGGTCTGCAGATCCCCTGGGCACATTTTCTGACCTGTCTGTATGGCTGCTGCCTCTTGGATAGCTTCTGTCACAGAGCCTAGCTCAAGTCATGCTGGGTCCCAGGACAAACACTACCACAGCTTTTGGGTTCCTTGTGTCTTAACTGCCTCCTTCCCAGGACTGATTATGCTGGTTCTTATTCTACTTTTGTGGCTCTATTGGAGGGTAGGAGTTACTCTGCTGTGTTGTTTTTCCTGTTGCATATGTCTTGGGACTGCATGTGTTCTGCCCAGGATGAGCAGGTGTGCAGGTGCCTGTTGTATGGCCACTAATGAGAACAAAGAATTTGGTCTCACTGAACGGTTAAGTCCATTTTGGATATTTGATGGTGACTGTGAAGTTTCCCTGACATAAGGCATATATGATCAGTACTGATTTCCTTAGAAGAGACTCGGTATTTCTAACTCTAGAAAGACAGGTTCGGAACTTAGATGCTGTGGATCAAAATCAGGTGTCTGGGAGGTAGGCCTTCCAACCCTGAATATTTAGAGTCATCTGTTAATTGGTCAAACATTCACCCATTCATTCAGTCACTCATTTGCATAACAGCTATTTACTAAGTACCCAATGACCAAGCACGTGGCAGATATTGAAAAGTGTCCAAGTCACAGTTTCTGCCTTCAGGGCCACTGTGGGTAGTATGGACAAGCACAGAGTGGGCATTTAGAAGGACATCTGTTGCAGGGTGGTAGCAGCACATGCCTTTAATTCCAGCACTTGGGAGGCAGGGGCAGGCAGCTCTCTAGGTTCAAGGCCAGCCTGGTCTACATAATGAGTTCCAGGACAGCTAGGGCTACACAGAGAAACCCTGTCTGGAAAAACAAAAACGAACACATGAAAGAAGTATAAGAAGGAGGAAGAAGAGGAGGAGAAGGAGGAGGATAAGAAGAAGAAGAAGATGATGAAGAAGAAGAAAAAGAAGAGGAGGAGGAGAAGGAGGAGAAGAAGGAGAGTATTTGTTTTAGCCCAAGCTGGAATTGCCAGAGCAAATGAATTAGGCTGCAGGCATCTGTGCTCTGGTGACAGGGGACACAACATGTTTAGCCTGCTGATCTGAGATGTTATCCAATCCCAGTTAACCTCGGTTTTCCTGACTATGAAATGGGATGGCATGTAGGACCCCTGTTTGTTGCTAACATTCAAAGGAGTACTTTGTGTGGGAAACCATTGTCAGTCTGCAGTGGTTTCAGACCAAGCAATAGGAGTTTCTAAGTTTAAAAAGCCCTGAGACCACTAGGAAGGTGATTTATCTGGGGGATGCTGAGATCACGTGATTTATTTGGGGGATGCAAATCAGGAGAATCTCCACTTTAAATGCATTCTTGACTATGCGGAAGTGCAGAGACGCCTGGCTGAACACTGGGCACCACAGAGCACAGTGTGCTGGGAAGCCACACCCTCAACTGTCTGTCTGCTGTGCAGGCTGTCTTCCTGAGTTCTTTCACTTGCCACCTCTAGCTCCTAAGAAAAAGATCCTTATGTGGCAAGAACATGAGTAGCCTGCTCACGCTGCTTTCCTCTGATCCTTTTCTTTTTTCGCCAGGCAAAACGCACCTGTAGAGACTTTTCTTTGTTCTCCTGGGTGCCAGGTGAGGGAGAGTAGAGGTGGCAGTGAGCACTGGGGGATTTGGGGGGTGTTGTGTGTGGGAACAGGTGCTGCGGTGGAGAGTAAGGCTGTGTTCTCCAGTGAGTATTAGAGGGCCCTACCCCTGGACCTAAGAACATCTGGGATTACCGTCCTCACTTAGGCATCTAGGAAGCCGAGGTGAAGGGAACTTTGAGAGTTGCTCCTGTGTGACTGAGTTTCCTGTTCCCAGAGGGTTTGCTTAGGGCCATCTGTGGCTAAGCTGTCATCACAGACTATGGAAGGAGAAGCAGTCTTGTTCTTTCCTTCGATCTGGTCTCTGTGGACAGCAGCCTCCAAGTGCTGTGGTCCTGGAGTTCCCCTGTTTATTTTCTAGTGTGTGGTTCTACCCAGGCTGTAGGCTCGTCTCTCCTAAAACACATGTTTGTTCTTGAAACAGGAGGGAGAACAGGACAGAGTCTCCTGAGAGCTCAGGTCTTAAAGATGTTATCTGGTGCTCTATGGTGACCACAGGCTGGATGTCTGCAGCACTAGCCCTCTCTCAAATACTGCCTTCTCAGAAATCACAGTGTTCCTCTGTATCCAAGAGAGTTCTCTTCCAGCACCCTCATGGATCCCAGAATCTAAAGTGCTCAAATGCCCTAGGTAGGTGGCATTGTACAGCCATGACTGGATTCACTGTAGGTAGACATTCTGAGAACTTTGTCTTCAGGTGGTCTGATCAGTGTAAAAACATCGATTGTACAAACTGACATGGTGTAGCCTGCCACATACTGGAACTGTATGCTATAAACTGTTGTATGTGATAGTCTTTGTTATGTGGAGTTTGCTGTACACATATAATCCAAACATGTGCCCACGTACTTCAGATCACTGCCAAATTACTTACAGTATATAACACAATGTAAATAGTCATCAAACGAGATAAACAAATGTTGGTACCTGTTCCCTACAGATTCAGTTTTTATTTAATTATTTATTAACTATTGCTATTTGTTAGTAGTTGTTTGCAGTGCTAAAGATTAAACCCAGGGCTTTGTGCACATGGGGCAACTGTCCTGCCTCTGAGCAACACTTTGGTCCTTGTCGACAACTTTTCTAGAAACAGGTCCATATTAAAAATTCCTCCAAGGTGCTCATCTTCCTAGTTTGCCCATTCTGGCCGAGCTTAGTGATACATCAGGTGATCTCTGCAAGTTTTGTGGCTGTTGTTAAAGCCGTCAGGATCTCAGATCTACCTCTCTGTCTGTGGCCCCTGCTGGTGATGCTGAGGCATAGTGGTTATCGAGGCAGCCATGGAGCAAAGGTGCAGGATCTCTTTCTACCATTTCGATGTGTGCTTCAGTCCGTTGTTTCACTCCTGCAGTGTTGATGTGGACAAGCTAAAAACAGAGTTTACAGATGAAAACTCTGAGGCTCAAAGGCCCTGAGTAAACTGCCCAGAGGCAGTGGCAGGTAGAGCAAGATTTCAGACCTTGATCTGTGTGACTTCAAAGCCCAGGAGCTTAACCACAATGCTATTATAAAATTGTGTTCCAAAGAGAGGGGTGATTGACGCATATCCCCAGCAAATCCCAGAACACATCATTAGGGCGTTGTGAGCACATAAAAAAAGAAGTGGAGATCACTGGGCGCCAGCACGAGTGCACCCAAGTCATCTCTCTCCAAACCTGTCTGGCTTTCCTTTTAATGGGCTGACTTAGCCAGGAGACTAGGAGCGTAAAGATGTGACTACAACATGGCTTTCAACAAAATGTAC